CCCCAAAACCCCAAAACCCCAAAACCCCAAAACCCCTAAAATTATTATATTTTTGAAATAATTTAATTTAAATCTATGAAATCTACTATCAAGAGTAAACTAGGGGCTTCAAGAACAGGGAAGACTTTCAAGACTACCAAGGTTGGGATCATAGACGAAGACTCCAAGCCTTCCTCCAATCCAGTCGTGTACTTTGACAAGTTGCCAGATCCATACAATTTTATTAACAAATGTCTCGAGAATATGATTTTGAAGAATGCTTTTGAGAAAATACTAGCAATAGAGAAGAAAAAGCTCAGTCCTGAGTATGAAGGGTTCCTTAAAACTATCTATTCTACTGGGTTTGTAGATGTAAATGGAATCACAGCTATCAAGTCCCTCCAGACAGCCCAATTGAGCACAAATAAGGTCATTATTGGGGACAAAAATGGTCTAATTCACTTACTTGATACTCAAAGAAAGATAGTTCCTGGAGAATTGGAGCTATTCCAGGGAAATCGCATTACTAATATTGATAGCTGTTCGATCCCATGGCTCGAAACTCATCTCTCAACTATAGCTGTGATTTCAAGAGGAAGTCCAGAAATTAAAATTGTTATGAACAAAATCTCTGAGAACAAACTGTTTCATCTCTACACAATCAAAGGTCTGAGTCAGAACTTATCGGAAGGAGATGAGATCACTGCAGAGACAAGCTATCTCGACTTCCCTTGAAAAGTTAAGCTATCGAAGGAAGGACAATTTTTACTGGTTACTACTTATGAAGGAAAAGTACACTTATTGAAACTTCCTGATCCAATTAACCCTATCCAGATAGAGGAGCAAGAGAAGAAAGAGGATAAGGAAATGCCTCCTGGAACAACGCCTCCTCCTGAGCCCACTGTGAATAACTTCATTAAGCCTGATCTTGAAAAGATCGAGCATCAAGATTTACAATTTAGTGATCTTCTTCAGTTCACTGTGGATGCTAAACCAATACCAAAGCAGTTTGTAGACCCCTTTGAACCAAAAGATGAACCAGAAGAGGAAGAAGAGCCAGTCAACGAGAAGCCAGCTAAGGGCAAAAAGGCAGCTAAAGAGCCTCCAAAAGAACCTGAGCTGGAGGAAGAGCCAGAGCAGGCTGAGAACGGCCCAAAATATGAGTATAAGCTTGGCAAGAAGTTCGTTGATGGTGAGAAAGGAGATGCTAGTATCCTCTGTCGTAGCAAAGGGCCTATCCCACATGCATACTTTGTTCGATCTCTCTTCTGTACTCAAGTGGGATCTTCAAACAGCAGGCAGTACATCAAAACTATGATAACTACTGGTTTTGTAGTCGCTTACGAAAAGCTTAACCTTGTAGAAGTTTACCCAATTCAGGAATGTAAGAAGGAAAATATCCCTAAGGATCTGACCTACGATAAATTCCAGAAAGAATTCAACCGCAAAAGAGCAGAGGAGAAAAAGAAGAAGGAAAATACTCTTGCCACATTGATAAAGACAGCTAGGGATGATCTCAAGGCGCAAGAAGAAGAGAAGGCTAAAGATGTAGAAGAAAATAAAGAAGAAGACGAGAAGAACAAGCCTGTTCTAACCTTCATCTCTTTATTCAACATCAGCTCTGCAGAGTACCTCGATAATGCTGAGAACGCTCAGTACCTAGCAATAGGGATGGTCAATGGAGGGGCTATTATCTACGACCTATGTTTAGGAGTTGAGAAATTAGTCCTCGAATGCCACGGAGGCCCTGTAACTTCCCTATCCTTCTTCAAAGATAAGAGTATAATCACAGGTAGCACCTTCGGCTCTGTGTATATCCATAGCCTTAATGAAGGAGAGGGCGAGAAAAGTCTAAAGTTTAGCCAATCCAACTGCATGGATGAGTACATCCCTGTTGCTAAAGTGATGGCCACCGAATACGGCATCGGAATCGCACTTGACGTCATGGGTAATATCAGACTTTACGATCTGATCAGGTTCAAGAAAATTTCTAAAGTCAAAGACAGAAAACCACAAGACGAATTTGCTGAAAAACTGGGTGAGGTAGACCTCACTTCAGCCTTCAGGGTATTCCCAAATGTCTGCCTCGAAGTGAATGGAGAGCATATTATTATAGTCGATAACTCACAAGAATTTTTACAACCGAAGGAAGAAGATCAGCCCCAAGATGAGGTACAGGAGGAAGATCCCAAGAAGAAAGGCAAAGCTGCTGAAGAAGAGCCTGAAGAGGTCAAAGAGCCAGAGGAAATCAAAACTATCACTGATTTCCAAATTCTTAAGGATAATGAGTATGAATATGACTCAAATAAGGTCAGAACGACAATGAAGTCACCTAATAAGCTTGTTGAAGAGCTGGAAGAGCAGACTTACTTCATCATGAGTGATAGTACTATCTGTATCTACCGTCTTGAAGACGTAGTTTTCTCAATTTACCCTCACCTTGCTGGCATCAGAAGAAGAGGTATTAATACCAAAGAAGTCTTTGCAAGGGAGGATCCAGATAAGATGGCATCAGCTAAAGGCTCTAAAGAAGCAGAACAATCAAATCTGCAAGCTCCATACGCTGGAGAGCAGCAAAAGAGTCTTCACAGCAAGAGAACTTTAAAGAGCAATTCCTCTGTTCATTCTGGAAAATCAGGTTATGGTAATGATAGTCAAGGATTTGACCCAAATGTAATTGCTAACTTCGCAGTTAAAAAGACTCCTAGCGCTCTTGGAAACCAGAAAAGGAGCGATGAATCGAACAAGAGCAAAGGTAGTTTGCTAAACGATTCTCAGCACAATTATGGGGTACCAACACTAGAGATTCTCAACCCTGAGTTATACAAAGATAAAGCCAAGAATGCTAAAGTAGTCAAGGATTTCCAATATGAATCTGTTAAAAATATCAAAGAGAGATACAGTTACCACGAACTTAGGGTCCAAAGAGCCAATAAGAGAAGTCAAGAGATCCAAAAGGAGCTTGAAGCAAAAAGAGAGGAAGAAATTATGAACAAGAGAAAAAGAAGACTCATTAAAACATAAGTCTTATAATAAAATTGAAAATCATATAAAATATGCTCATGATTTTGGGGTTTTGGGGTTTTGGGGTTTTGGGGTTTTGGGGTTTTGGGGTTTTGGGG